TCACAGAAGTGACCACTCTGCTCAACAGCTTATAAGCATTATTGGTTCTAAGTCTTTATTGGGTTCTAATTTCCCACCTTGTCTTCCTGTTTTCCTGTGTGAAGGCTAGATTTATCCCTTTTAACATGGTCAAGGATTTTTTTTGTATGTTCCATTTTCTGTATATTGTTTGCCCCATCATCCTATAGCTAAGAATTGGCAAAGTTGGGGCTCAAAGCAAAGAATGAACTTCCCTCACACAACTCCATCTCTTACCATAGTATACTGTGCCATAGTAATCTGTACTTCTTGGCAGTGTCCCCTCCAAGGTGCAGCATGCTGTTGGAACCCAGTAAGAGTGTGCGACTAAGATAAAGTGAGGGCTTTCTAGAGCCCAGCCCCCCATGTGAAGTGTGTTCTCTGCTTTGTCAACATTAGCAGCCATGGGACTCCACCTACACACACCTCTTTCGAGAAGCCTAGCAGCAGGGATCTTTTGAATAAAGCTGCACCCAACTTCCCCTTTCCCTCCAGAGTTTTATGGGCTCAGCCTTCACCATGCCAGATGGGCAGGTCCTCATCATTCTAGTCTGTCCTTGAGTTCCCTCCAGGACATAACTGGAAGAGATTTTAGTTGAGGTTAACCAAGGAACAGTGAAATCAGAGTAGTCCAACAGCAAAGGGTCTGTCTAGGGGAGGGTGAACTAGTCTTGAGCTTGAGTTTGGAATTGGCCTCAGGAAGAAGCAGCACAGCCAGGAATTGTGCTTCAGTCTGGGATATCTTTTCCCGGGATCCATCAGAGTGAGCTAAGCAGATCAAAACCATATGAGGTACAGGCACATTTTTAAAAATTATAAAATCATGTTAAAACTAACCATGATAAACTGGAAGTGGATTGTAAACATTGTATGAATTGTTAAAGTAAACCACGAGATGGTGAAGGAATTCTAAGCCTATGGTTGTCTGCTTGGGGCTTTACCAAGATCCACTGAGTGATCTGTTTCACACTAGTCTCTGCTGTTATGGGTTAACCCCATGAGAAATTCTGAGACATTATGTGGGTTAATATTGTCTCTGTAGTCAGAAAAAACAGGTGAAGTCTTGACTTGCTCATTCACTAGCTGTGAAACTGTGGACAAGAAATGACCCTTTGGAGGCTCTGTTTCTTCATCAGTAAAATGGTGGGGGTGATAATCACAGACACTTCTTAAGAATGTTGGAAGAAGTGAGCTCACATGTTTAGAGGTACCAGCACAGGGTCTTGCTGCTACCCTGGAATGGGTGACATCTGGTGAGTCATTGCTTAGAACACACCCACAGAAAAGGCCAACATTTAAAGTAAACTAGTCCTTTCTGGTCTCAAAAAGGGAAGCCTTCTGTGGTTGTGTCTGTGCCAAGAGGTCCCTGGATGACCCACAGTCTTCATGTTAGAAAGAGTGAAAGAACATAATGTGGGGATACAGCTGAAACACATTCTGAAGATCTCTAGACCATAAACATGCAGATAGGGACAGTTCCTGGCTTGTCATTAACTCCTTACATCTTCTCCAGATGGAGTCCATGTCCAGGACTGGGAACCATAGTGAGACCTTTGCTAACCAAGGGCATTCTGTTGCACCTTGGAGATGAGTCTAACTTTTGCCGTGGACACTGAGCACATTAATATTATTTTCCTCTGCTCATGAAAGGGTATGCCTACTTTGTAACTATGGTGGGGTGGGGAGATACTCTGGGTATGGGGTTTTTGCTTGGGAGATTTTCTGAGCAAGAGAGAAAATCTAAATCCCTAGGCACCATCACTCTATCGGATATAAGCTCTTCTGAATAGGAGCTTAGAGAAGTCATCTCCACTCATGGGCCTCCATTTCTTTTTGTGTACACTGGCCTAACACCAGTTGACTACCCTGTCTTCTTTGGAGGGTGGTTTGATTGTGAGAAAATGAGGGGATGAGCTGGCCTCTTGTTGGGTTACCCCATCATGGCCTGAGTTTTTTCACTAGTCATCTTCTCCCTGAAGTCATGCTTGAAATTTCCACCATTTGAAATGATAGAAGTCACTGTCATTTTTTTATTCCAGCTATTTCACCCTTTCCTGAACAGAATAAATTCTAGGATTTGTGTGATATAACCTTCCCTCCACACTCACCCTGTTAGGATGAACCAAAATCTGAGAAAACAACAGGCAACAGGCTGATTTGCGATGCTATAGGCTCCTTATGGCTGGGGAAGTCCACTTGGGGTAGTGGGCTGAGGGCAGGAAAAGCCAGAATGACCAGTGAGGGAATTTCTTAGGACTTGCTCACATACACCTGGGAAGAAGCCCATCAAAGGAGAAGAGCAAGCTAGTCATGGGGTTCCTTTGCCTACCTTTGCTTTGAGATGTTTCCTTTTGAACCTCCCCAGTGACAGCCTTCCTTGATCAAGTCTGGTGTCCCTCGACTTCTAGACAGCTCCAGAGGCCATGCCAATGGAAGTGGATTCCTGCAGCTCCTTTCATGTCCTATCCTAGTGGGACTAGCAGCTTGGGTTGCTGACCCTGCTCTGTGGTACAGCAGACACCCTGGTTTTCATACAAGAGCTGAGTCTCATGATCCACTGCATATTTTGTTCCAGCAACAAAATAATGAGCAGACAGACAAATAGATATATTAAAAAAATACATGCTTAAGGGAATGGTTTCACAGTGTCTGATGAAAGGAAAAGAAGCAGTCCCACTGGTCCAGAGGGAGCTTCTCCAACAGTAAGCTGAATGCATCACTGCAGAAGTCTGTCGGCTTCTTTCTTGTTGCCTGCAGGGTAACATCTGCTCTCTCTGTGGGCATCTTTTCCCTGGCCCTGCCTTACCTTCTGTCACTGGCCCTGTCTTGCTACATTCTAGCTGGGCTGGCCTCTCACCTTCTGACCCTTCCTGATGTCCTTTCACACCTCTTTGCCACTGCTTACTTACTGATCCCTTGGCTTGAATTTCCTTTTCTACCAGTGGAGACGCAGCTGGAATGGATATTGCCTAGGAAGCTCTAGGCAGACAGGATGAGGTTCTCTTGTGCCTGGGCTCATGAAACAATGGTGCGTGCCACACAACTGCACTGTAGTTCAGTTTCCCCAGTATACAGGGAGTGCTTATGAGTCAAACCTGTGCCTTATTGAATTTTGTGTCCCTCATATCTTTTGAAGGATAACACCACCATGCAAGATGGAGCTTCCTGGATCCCATGCTACCCAAGGCTATCAGATATTGTGCCTAAGCACTGGCTAGAGACCATGATAGAATGTTCCTGGTTGGCTCCCTCATAGCCTGAGGGAATCACAGAATTGTTTTCACCAAGGCAGAAATTAGATAAGACTAGCTTTCCCGGGGAGCCAGGAATGAGTAACTAAAATATATCTGAAATTCTGGACTTCCCAGAACTTGGCATCAGAAAGAAAGAATTAAATTTCCATTCATGGAGTTTTTGCTCAGAAGTTTCTAGCCTTATTTTTCCTCCATAAAATAATTGTTTGGCTGAGAAAGTATGAAGAAAATGGTACAGAGAACGTTTATTGCCATTACCTTTTTGGAACTCAGGATTTCAACACTGAGGAAGGAGCCTTGGCTTCCTCCTTGCAAAATGAAGATGATAACAGCTCCATGCTGGGGGTGCTAGGGACTATGTGAGATGTCATATGGAAGATGCCAAGCACGACACCTGGCATACAGTAGATGCTTAGCAAATGTTGGCTCCTTTCCTTAATTTACCCATACTTTGGACAAGACCCAGAGCTCTGGGCCTAATTCCCTTTGCCTATTTAAATCAAAGCATGACTGGGTCCTCAATGACCATTTTCAAGATGGCAGCTTGATTTCTTTAGGAAGGAATTAAATTTGGAGATAGAAATTATGCATGAAGCTGGTGAGCTATCTTCCCTAGTAACCAGGGACCATCTTCACACTAGCCCATCTCTCTTGCTCAATGGCTGTGCTATCCCCATGGTGGGACCTTTTAAAGACATGGCCAGGAAATATAACAAGTACAAGATATTTGTCTTGTAGCTACACTTTCAAACTCCCGTTCTACTTTTTTTTTTTTTGACACAAGAGACTAAGATTTTACACCCTCAAAAGAAAGTTTCTTTTCACGTACACTTGGGAAAATACTCAAATCTTATCTTGCTCATCTCTTCCAAAGTAAGCACCACCCAGGAGACACAAGCATTACATTGTACAGGCCAGTAGGAGCCCTGCCCAGGGAGGGTAGCCCCTTTATAAAGATTGAGAAGAGCCATAGTATTTCTTGCAGTTCCACCCCTTCCCACAGCCACAAAATAGCAAAGAAAACTTTTATCAAAGTGTGCTATGGACACAGCTGGTTGGTCAGCGGATGGCAGAAGGTCAAGACCTGGGCTGGAGAAGGACTATAGAATGGTGGTGGGCCAAGCTCCATGCAGGTTAGGTGTGAGAATGGAGAGGGAATCTGTGGTGTTCTATGGGGCATCCTGAGGTCACACCAATCCAGGCTGTCAGGTCTCTAGGGCCAGAGACCCCTCAAGGTGGCTGGAGGGGGCAAAAGAACAGTGACCTCCCAAACCCTAACCTTCTCCATTACAGCATGGAGGAATAGAACCCGTATCTCCCACACTCCTAAGAGAGGAATGATAAGGGAGGTACTGGACAGCCTCCCGCTCCCCAGCACCTGCACAATCAGTTTGCCATGAGATTCACAAACTTGGAAGGAAAAAAGCAAGAGGTCTGGGAACCAGAAGTCCAGGGCCTTGCTTGTGGGTGCAGTTCTGCTTGGGTCGGAAGATGTGGCTGGTCAGGTATGGAAGGGAAGCCTAGGCCAATCAGAGCAGCATCTCACACAGCTATAGGAGATCCCTAAAAGGTGTGGAACTCACTGCAGAACATGGGGCCACCAGTCTTCTCTTGGAGCTGGGCAGGGGCGTCACCTCTGAGCCCTGAGCCCAGTCACCGCCATTCACAAAAGAGGGGGTTTGGCTGCAGCAGTCTCTGAACTCCAGCAGGTTCCCCCATCCCATTGGGCTAAAAGGAGCTTAAATATTCCAGTGCCACCTCGTATACAAATTTATACTGTTCCTGAGGGAAGAGGAGGGGAGACAGAGAACAGATAAGAGAGAGAGATGAAAATGGGGATAAAAAACGTGCATTAGATCAGAGATACAGATTTTGAAGACAATCTTATCTATATCCATACTTAAAGTCAATTCAAAATTATCAATGTCTGGACATTTTCAACCTCTACCCAGGCTCTCCTGAATGCCCAGTTGGGATCGTTCCTTTTTCATTTTACCATTTTGCACACCAGTGCTTCTCAAATTGTAACCTACATATAGAACACTCAGGAATATCTGTTAATAATGGAGATTCTGATTCTGTAAATTTGGAGTGGAGCTCAAGATTCTATAATTTCTTTCAAACTCCCAGGTTATGCTGGTGTTGCTGGTCTGTGGACCACACTGAGTAGGATCTCATTTTGAATGAGATCACACTATGAGTAGGCATAGAGTCTTATATTAGAGTTCCTTATATGGTCTGTCTCCACTATTGTACCAGGTCTTACCATCTGGGGCTCTGCCTTCCTACTCTTTTTACTATCTTTTGAATTAGTGTACTAGTTCAATGCTTTATACTGTAAAATTAGCATAAATGAGTTAGAATAGGTTTAGACTGAGTTGAAAACTTAATTCACACTCTACTAATCCAGAATCCTTTCTTTAATCCTGAATTAGTGACATTTTCTTAAGAAGCAGGCAGAAAGTAAGACAAAATAGGTGTATTGGGATTAATATTTGGATTGCCCTGAAGAAAAGAGAAGTTGGTGGGGTTGGAAGGGGGAGAAAGTGGACAGACAGTAGTGTTTTCAAAGGGCATAGACTGTAGGTATTTAATAAGCACCTAGCTCTTGAAGATTTTTACTCTTTCATGTCATTTTCTTCAAGTCCAGAAAACTTTTAAGTCTCTGGACATTGAAGAACAGTTTTTGGGGAACTCACCAGGGTCTCCACCATGTTGGATTTGTTGTTCCGCAATGTTTTCACGATGTGAAACACATCAATAATGTTTTGCTGCTGGATCATCTCACACACACTGCAGATGGCACAGAAGGTTCCACTGCGGCCTCCCCCATTTCTAAACACAGAGTGAAGAGATGAGTCACATTTCTGGGTGCCATCCCCTAGGCATCTACTTATCTTAAAACCATATTGTAGTAGTGAGGAGTGGTTGCTCTGCCAAATGCAAGGAAGTGTAACAGTGAAAGCTTTAACCTGAGTCATGAGTTTGGTTTGAGTCCCATTTGTGCCATGAAACTTCTTTGACCTTGGGAAATTCACTTTCTCTTGTCTGGGGCCCAAGATTTCCATGCAAATAATGAAGAGGTTGGACTATATGAGCTTTGAGGGCTTAATTAGCTTGATGCTTTCCTTGGTTCTATGAGCATGTTACACTCTTCCAGAATATACTGATCCAAACCCCTATGGCAGTATGCACTTGTGACTTTGTGTGGTGTCTGAATCCTTCTCTAAAAGGATGCTTTGAGTCTACCACCATATCCAGTGAAGACAATGGAATGCTGCAGGTGATTTTTTCCTATTCTTTCTCCTCATCCTCCAACAAATACAGCAATATTCTATAAACCTAGGGACAGTCAGCCTAGAACCAGTGTTGTAGGCCTGGGAGGCTGTTTCCTGATATAACAGGTCTCCCCTTGTCCATCTAGTTTAAGCAGGATCTTACTGATTTTGAGAGTAGGGATAGAGTGCTCTTGGCAGGACTATCTCTATGGCTCCTTCTTTCTGAAGTTTACATAAATCATCTTCATGGAAACATCCCTCAAACTTTTTATAGAAAGTCTCTTAGGAATTTACCTGATTCTGAAACCCCTGGGCATGTTGCCAAGAGTAGCTAATGATTTCATCTAATGGTCTGTGTCTAAGGAACATTTGGACAGAAACTAAGGCACTCAATCTCCCAGATGTTTTATCTATAGCATACCCAATGACCAGATGTTTCAAGTTCAGACAGTTGTCCTCCCTTTGCTGGTGAGTGCCTGCATTTCAGTGATTGTTATTAAGGTGCCTATGGCCCCAGGGTGTCTCTGTTGGTCAAATGACATTCCTGTGCTGGTCATCTTGGCTAGGGGAGACATGGATAAGCACCTACTCCTAAAAACAATAGGCTAAGAAACACATATGTGAGATAATAGGGAGGATTCCCAGGAAGGAGGGTTCAGAATTTTCTGAAGCAAAAAACAGCACAGCCCAAGAGAAGAAGATTAGAGGATGCAGCATTCAGGGCCTGGTGGAATGAGAACCTGCAGGGATGGGATCAGCCCTGTGATAATGGTAGGGTCATCTGAATGTGTGGAAGGGAACTGAAGGGAGCAAGACTTAGTTAGCAAGGAACCAGATGCCAGTTTTGGGGATGTTGGCAGAGCCAGCTTGGTGTGGCTGATGTCACCCATCAACATGACATAGCATACCACACGGTATTTTTTTGGACATCATTCTGAAATCTGTATCCTTAGGGCAGGTTTTTACTAGTCATGCAGTTCTTAAGCTCTGAGTGTACACATGTGTGTTTAACTTCCTTTAAGCTCTGACTTTTCTGACTTTCGGGGTGTACTACCTATTTGAAAGAAAGTGAACAATTAGCTGGTTTTGAAAAGGTTGAACTTAATTCTGAGGTCAATGCAATATTATCAATGCCTATATTCACTCCAGAAGTAATTATTCTGAAAAAGAGAAGAATGGTTCAAATTTCCTGTAATTCAACATTTTGACAGGGCGAGATCCTCTCAGTCACTTCACAAATTACTTATGTTCTAAGAAGCAAATGTATGATTGTGAGTCAAACATTCCACACAGAACTGATGTGGCTGCAGATTTGCTGTGGGTCTAAGGTCTTTGTAGAATCCTTCTTTGTGGTCTCTTTGTAGTAAGGTAGACTCCATGACACTTGTTCTTTTAAGAAATTACATTTACATTTGTGTATTTGCCACCAAGACATTGTTGATAGGTACATTACTTTTATTTTCCAACTATTTCATGTCAAAGAATTACTTGTCTAAAGATGATCTAATTCAACACACCCAATAGACAGATGAGGAAGAGTTTCACAAAATTAAGTGATTTTCTTGATGTGGTATAGCTTGTCAAACACAGCCCTCTAAGGGCCTGGACCTCTTCCTAGCATAATGACATTGGGATTCATTTGGTTGTACCCATTCTATGACAGGAGGTAAAGGCTCCAGTTCACCCAGTAACTGATGTTGAGGCCGCTGAGACCCTGGGAAACAGAGTTCTTAGGGTACTGCAAATCATCTATTAGCACCCCTCCAAGGTAGTGTCTTCTCCTCATGCTCTCTGTGTTTCCACTAAGCTCATGGTAAGAGGTGTCCCAGGAGGCAGTGGATAATGAGGCAAGAATGCATGTTTGCTTAGGGCCCAGTGAATGTAAATCATAGCTCCTCTCTCAACTCTCTGATCCCTTACCCCATCTGTTCTTCGGTTTTCTCATTACAAAATGATAATATCTACTTCACAGATGGAATGAGGTGATTCATTTAAAATGTCGGGCTTAAATTAAGCCCTTTCTTCTTCTCCAGGAAATAATAAAGGAGTCTCTGGTCAGTGGGACCTACTCTGTTCTGAGCTTTCTTATGACTAGAAGAATACATCATGGCTCTCCTTTTGGAGGTCAGGACTCATCATGTATTGGGAGCACTGAGATGTAGTCCGCCCCCTCCGTATTTTGCATCAATATCATGTTATATAACAATTGTTCAGGGCAGCTGGCAAAACCTATCTATAAAAGGATCCTGAGTTCTTTGAATATATTTTACTAACTTCTAAGGGATGATGAGATGTAGTATGGCTGGACATGACTATGATGGTGTATGTGGCTAGCAGCATCCTCAAGCATTGCTCTGGAGACACCTCTGCAGTACTCACAGGCAGTGGACCACAGTGCGTCCCTCCCTCCCATCATACTGCTCCTGCCACTTCTCCAGTCGTCGGACTACTTTGAGTAGAGAGCGCTTGGAAGGAGGTGTGTCCCGGTAGGCAGGCCAGCCAATGTACTGGAGGTGCTGGACTATACGATACCCATCCTGTGGCTGAGAACAGAGAGCAAGTTTAGGGATGTTTTGCTAGGGATGCTTGGGATGTGAGCCTTCTAAAACTTACCCCAGGGCCTGGAGGAGACTGGAAAACAGACTAAGGTGTGTGTGTGGGTCTAATCTATGTCATGATGGGGAGAATCACAGACTACCCAATACCGACTTCTCTACCTTTGTGCACACTGATTCTCCTCCCCTCTCCACCTGGAAGACTCCAACTCAGTCTTCAAAAGCAATTCAAATGTCCCTTTCTATAGGAATACCTTACATGGTTCTACCAGGTAGAGCTCTCTCTCCCTGAGGTTCATATGTCAGAACATATCTTACTTTTCCACTTGATACTGAATTCTGAGGGCAGAGTTCCATTCACCCTGGGTTCCTAGTAAAGACCAACAGTTAGTCACCATTTCAGAGATAGTCTTCTTCCCTCTCCTACTCAGTACTCAGCCAGTGACTACCCTCTTGAAAACAACTAATTATTTTCCATCTCAATGTTTGCAGGACCTGGCCCAAAGCTTATAGGAGCCAACAGAAGACTGCATTGATTGGTGCCAAAGCAACACACACCATGGTAGGGAAGAGCACATGTCTGATAAGTTTGGGCTACATGGCAGCAAGTGTGTCAGGAAACAGGCAGATGGCAGGCTGGATGTCACTCTTTGCATCTGTCTGTGTTGGAGCCATTGCTGGGTCTGGAACCGGAATCAGCAAAGACATCACTTCCCTAAGGAAGAGATTATCAGGAGAGCATAACACAGACTCTTGGCTAGCTCAGCGGCGATTCTCTCCTGCAGCTTCCATCTGTTTTGCAAAGGAGGGGCAGGGCAAGCAACGGTGGCCACACTCACCCGAGCCATGTTACAGATGCGGAATATTCTGTGGATGATGTCTTCATCGATGTCTGCAGAGACAAACTCCACCTGGATGGGTCCATAGCACCCAGAGGTCTTCTCGGGCCAGTATTGCATACAGAGCTGAGACAAGAGAGGAGGTCACAGAAGGAAGCCAAGGACAAAAGGAAGGGCTTGGGAACATCAGTGTCATTTATCACTGAGTCTTTCTTATTGCTGGCAGGAAACATGGATTAGAAAGGTAGAGTATTGTGTAGCAAATTGGACTCACTATCCCTGTTGGGGTGCAGGTGCCCACTTTTTGGTGCTGAAATGTCAAGACTCTTAACACGGAAATGCTGGGTTTAAAAAATCTTTGCTATGCTGATTTTAGACCATTTGTTAGGCTTGCCAGGCCTCAGTTTTCTTATCTGTAAAATGGTAAGAATAGTATCTACTTTGAAATGCTGTTTTCAGGATTAGATGGAATGCCCAGGGAAGGGCAAAGACTTCTCCCCATTCTAGGGAAACCTATACAGTGTATGTTCATTATTAAATCATGAATAATATAAAAAATATATAGGCTTTGGCTTTTGATAGTCTTGGGTCCACATCCAGGCTCTGCTCCTTTCTAGTTGTGTGATCGGGACCTCCACTTCTCATACATAAATTGGGGATAATTAACACTTTCCCTGCACCTGGTAAGTCACCTGGTAAGAAAAGTCACTTGATATTAAAGATTTTGCTGATAATCTTTCTTTTTCTGGAATTGGGAATTAGAACCTACACCTGAGAGCAATAGGTCATGGTACCCCTCAGTCTAAGTCACTGGATTTTAGCCAGAGGCTGTTTTGTTCTCCCAGGGGATATGTGCCAATATTTGAAGACATTTTTTATTGTCACACTTGGATATTGCTATAGGCATTTAGTGAGTAGAGGTTAGCATGCTTCTAAACATCCCACAATGCATAGGATAGTTTCCCCTAAGAGTTCTCTGGCCGTAATATCAGTAGTGCAGAGATTTAAAAAACCTGGTCTAAAATCATAAGTTGTTCTCGTCATCAAGAAGGACAGATGGATACTTCATTCGTATCTGTTGAGTTCTTAGATGACTTTAGCTGGAGGGAGAATATTAAGGGAGGTGGGTGGCAGGGGTGTGGCTATGGAGAGGTAAGCAGCTTCCCTCAAATTCCTGATTCCCATGGGCATAAGGATAAACCCTGCCTTAGGCTATAGGCCCCATAGATGAGGCTCAGAGGAGATCTACAGTGGGGATGTAGGCTTGCTGGGACTTCCCCACCCCAGTGTGGACAGAGATCATATGATAGAAAGTCTACCTGGGAGTTGCCCAGAAGATATAGCTGATATTCACAAAGATCCACCAAGGCTTCTGGAAGCAATTTGGGATTGAGTGTCTCATCCATGGGGTCTGCTCCCATCCAGCCCACACCAAGTTTTCATATAAGGAGCTAGGCTGACAGGGATGACCAACAGAATTGTGGTCTCCTCCTCTGAAGCAGGGTTCTCATGTAAAGGACAATTGGTCTCTCCTTTGTTGATGAAGGACAACTCACCCTAGGAAGTCACATTCCAAAATATCTTTTATTATCTCCTTCCTCCAGAACTAGAATTAGGAGGGAAGAGTAAGGAGGAGGGGGATGTGAGAGAAGGAAAAATCACATCTCCTGCCTTTCTAACTGTGGAAACCCCAAATTCTTGCTTAGGAATAACATCATTTGCCACATAGCAGTGGTGGGCATACTATGGCCCAAAGGTCATAGCATATATAGTTCCATTAATAACTGTTTATTGAAATCAGCTACATGTACTATCTGTGATTGCTGTAATGCTACAATTTCAGAATTGAGTAATTTTGACAGAGACCTTGTGACCTGAGAAGCCTACAGTATTTCCTATCTGGCCCATCACAGAAAAAAAATTTGTCAACTTCTGCTCTGTAGGGTTGGTAGAGGATAAAGGAAGTAATTCACGTAAAAAAGTCTTTGGCACAGTACCAGGCATGGAACAAGCACTTAAATAAGATTGCAAATAATTATTACTGCATTTGTGATTCAATTATTATGTAATTATTACCCATATCATTGTTGGTATACACATGTTCCTTCATTTATGACCACGAAGTCATATCCCATTAAACCTATTGTAAGTTGAAAATATCATTAAGTGAAAAATTCATTTAATACATGTAACCTACTGACTGAACAGTCAGTGCTGCAGACTATAAACTACTGGTTGTTTCCCCTTGGGATCCCTTGACTGACTGGGACCTAAAACCTGCTCCTGCTTTCTGGCATCACCAGAGAGTATCACATTGAATATGACTAGCCCAGGAAGAGATCCAAAATTCAAAATTTGAAGTACAATTCCTACTGAATGCATCTTATTACCATACTGTAGTTAAGTCAAAAAAAATCCTAAGTTGAACCACTGTAAACTGGGGATCATCTGCATTTAAATTTGAAGGATTCTCTTAATACCACTCCTTATAAGTGGCAAAAACCTCCAAGGTTAAGGCAATGTTGTTTTGCTTCTCAAGTATTTCCATCAGGAGTTAATCAAGCATATTGAGAAAGGAGATGTGAGTGTGTGGGGGTGGGGAGGGCTGGTCACAGGGGCCTCCATGGCTGGACAATCTGCGGCTGCTGAGCTGTGCAGTAATGACAAATCCACATTTTGAACTTCATTTCTCTTTGCCATTGGCTCTTCTGCTTTGTAACCTTCACAGGAATGAGGGACTGGTACAGATAAGTCTGTGGCTGGCCAGAGAAATTGGAATTAATCAGAGCTGCCCATTTAAAAAAATAATTGCCTTTATCGCCTGCATTGAATTTAGCCTTGCCAGAGTTTGGCTGTGATCCTGACATGAGGTGCATGGGTCTGAGGCATTGGGAAAAGTCTATTACCCCCAATATTTTCAGCCTGGAGAGAATATGGAATGATTTGTCTCTTTTTATAAGATTTCCAGACCAATTTCTCAAGCTAATAGGTTCTACTCTGCCTCAAACAAGACTCTTACATTTTGGGACACATCTCTGCATTTGATCTTCCAGGTTGCTCTCCCATAATGCCCAGAGGACTGGGGAAGGTTGCAGGATTCTTTGAATCCTAAATCAGAGTCACTGTTTCACTCAGGTTCCCTAATTTGTGAGACTACATCTGCAGGAGCACAGGTGACATTCATTTGAGTGATTTGTGGGCAGATGTGCATTTGAGCTTCCAAGGATGATCAGGGTCTTCCCACAGCCCAGGACACTGCACATCCTCTAGTTATGAGAAATAGGAACAAAAGTGGACAGAAGTCAAAGGCTATGTCCCCAGTGGCCCTTTGGGGCTTGGAAATGACTCTCATTAGCAAGAGATGTCCTTTATGGTTTAGCTCAAGATTGTCCTGCTGTCCAAGTGTGTGTGGTTGCCCTTGAATGGGAGCTGCCATTTTGGCTTCTGTATGTAGGTAGCATAGAAAAAGGGGGGAAATGCATTGGGGTCACTACTTGAAGGACTCAAGGTTCAAGTCCCAGCTCTATCACTTTCTAGTTGAATAACTTGGCCAAGTCTTTTTGCTCCTCCAGGTTATGGCGGCTGTGAATTTCAATGCCTCCTAGCATACAGATCTGTAGCTCTAGTGAGTACTTCATGCGTATGAGCTATAATTATTAGGTAGCATTATTCAAAGCAAGATGGATAAAGGGAAGATTTTTTTTCCCTTCTACTTTCTAGTCCTTATGAAAATTTCTCTTTAGCAAAATACCCAAAGGATTGCTCTTATTGCAAAAATTCCTGATCAGCCAGCTTGGGGTAGCTGTAGTCAGACAGCCTTGTGAAGAGAGGAACACTATTCTGCATGCTAAAGGAGAAAGACCTGTAGCTTTTTCTTGAGAGGAACTCAGAAAATAAAAGAGGGGACTAGGCATGGTGTTCATGCCTATAATCCCAGCAGAGATTGGGAGGACCATGGTTTGAGGCCTGCCCAAGCAAAAAGTGAGCAAGACCTCCATCTCAACCAACAAACCAGGCATGGTGGCATGTGCTGATGGTCCCAGTTACTGGGGGACATACGTAGGAGGACCATGACCTGAGACTGGCCTCTGGGCAAACATGAGAGACGCTTTCAGAAAAATAACTAAAGCAAAAAGGGGATGAGGGAAGGTTCAAGTGATAGAGAAGCTGTCTAGCAAGCACAAAGTCCTGAGTTCAAATCCTAGTACCATGGGGAGATAAGGAAAGAAAATGAAAGGAAGGTTAGGGTATAGTAGAACCAGCGAAAGGTATAAGATAACTGGATGTATCATGTAGTACTTTTCCTAACCTCCTAACTATTCTACAGATTTTGAATAGCAAGACAAGGCTCAGTGTCTATGGATTTCTAGTGGAAACCAGGGAGGAACTGAGCTTTGCTCCCTGAATAACACAGGAAGGAAATAGAGATCACACGTGTGAACAGAGGAGGCAGACCATGGGCAGTTGGTAGAATTCGAAGGGAAGGCAGTGTTAGGGTTTTTAAAACCCTGGAGGTAGGGATTCAAGGAAGCCCACTTGGCTTTCAAAAACCATGAGGATCTAGCTGACTTTGAGGCCATACTTGTTATTCAGTGCAACCTTAGTACTTTTGTTCTCAGATGGAAAACTTGAAGTTGGCTGTCTCCAAGAATAGATTCAAATTCTTGAGCCTAGAGTCTAGGCCAGCTGTTTTTCCCTACCTTCTCTTCTAGTGCTCTTCCTACCTTTCCTTTCCCAGTTGTCTGAGGAGGGTGGTATTGCTCAAAGGGAAGGTCTCAGCATTTTTTGCAGACACACATAGGTAGGGCTGATGACCACACCTGGGAGGGAAGCCAGTCCAGTTGGTTCTGGTGATTTAGAAAAGGCCACACTTCTTCCAGGAAAGCACAGGGGCTTTGCTATTTATTATCAGAATGAGTTAAACCAAGCGAAAGTCGAAAAGCCTGTGAGGATAGCCCTAGAACAGCTTTCACACATTATTCTACCTAGTGATCTCCATCACTATTTGGGCCATGAAAAGATGTCCTTCGGGGGTGCAAGTTCATGCGTGAAATATAACAAATGTGCAGGAGCCTCTCTCGTTAAATATCTTTATCTTGCTGATGAAATCAGAAAGCTTGTTAGTC